CGGTGCGTTTTAGCGTAAACGCCGTATGCTTGTTGATCGTAGCTTCGTACATATTGATTGCGGTTGTGCTGATGAAAAATGACACATCCAAATGCTTTTCGTGATTCCATCTTGACGCTTCAGTTCCTCTTTCGTCGTGCCGAAATATGGACGGCACGTACTCAATCAACCTTGGATTTTTTCCTGGGAGCACCTGTACGTAAATGCAGACTGCGTCAGACAAACGAAACCATCCATGCAGGGTTTTGGACAAATACCGCCCGCTTAACGCTAGGCATTCAAGAGTCACAAAACCCGCTTTTTTTATCCCAAAATGTTTTACCACAATTTTTTACCACAAAATCCACTTCAATTTTCTATTTCGTTCCAAGGGAATCTGAATATTTTTTTCGCTTTCGTGCTCGACCTCGAGCAACCGACAGCTGCACAATAAACTATGAATCCGCTAGCGATTAGATTACAACACAATTAGAAGAAAAGACGTTTCTGCAGGTAAAAAAGAGCGTGGCCAGCGAAACAGCGCTCGGCGGGTATCTTGAACCAGGAGCCGTCGCCGGCGGCACCTCCCGTGAGCCTTTGCGTGTTTACCCCTCACCTATTCCAGCCGCAAACATCCAGCGACCGAGCCGCGCCGCCCTGCCTGGCCGATCCAGCGCAAGGCCACCGTCATCCTGGCCTCCTCGGATGAAACCGTGACGCGCCGCAAAGCGTCCGGACAAAGCCAGAACCGCTGTGAACGACATCGACAAGCGTGGCAGCGTGGTAGTCCTGAAGGGTTGCTCCTATCGCGACACTGTCGCTGGTGGTGACCAATCGACGTCAGCAACCACCCCTCGCCCTGCTACGAGTGTGCCTCATGCATCCTCGAGCACGGTGACCCCCTCCTCTGGATTTGCCTGCCTCTGTGGTCAACCCGAAGGACGCGGTGATTCCCGTACTTGCGGCGGCAATTCGTGAAGTGCTTGTGCTTCTGCCGGTTGAATCTCAGATGCGTGAATTGTGTGCCGCAGCCCTCGCTGCACATCAAGTCATCGTGCCGGCAGCTGCTGGACGGCTGGATTACCCCATCGAAACCGTCTGGACTCCCTCCCGTGAGTTCAACTAAACTCTTTTTTTCGTGCCCGGGCCACGCCCCTAGAATAGCACTTCGCGAGTTTTCGTCTAATAATGTGCCATATCGGCTGAATAAAGGGCCCTCTAATGCTTGAAAACATCGGTGCTGACTGCATAACTCGTAGTGGCGCTTTCCAGAACTATTGCGAGCGGAAATGACGCCAGAAGGTTGCCGTCATATCATTGGTCAAATCTAACGTTAAATGCAGTCGCGGCATTGCATCAAAATAGAAATTACTATTGGATTTCTTTTTTGTTTCGTCAGCATGACTTTTTTTTCTCTCAAAGCTAACGGGAATAGAAGTATCCGACTTTTCCAGCTTGAAAACTGCAAAGCTGGTCAAAGAATGCGCCGAGAGCCATGTGCTGGAGGAAACGTGCCAGGGACGCTCTGGCGCCGTTATTGTAAGAAACTAAAAGCAAAAAAAATGAAAGAGCGTTGATATATAGACGCAATCGCAAAAAGAAAGATCAGTAAAACTAAAAAATAACTTACGAACGTTCGCGAGCTGGCTTGTTTCGCATGTGGCATTCTCTTTTCAAGTACCAGACTTTTTGTTATCATCGCAACGGCGCCCTGGGCATTCGGGCAATATGTCATGTGAGCTTCCTGTATGGTGGGGCCTTCAGTTCATTTCATTGGGCAGCCTTCCGACGTCAGAGGGCGAGGGAAACACGGTCAAGTGATCCCGCGAAAATCGAGTTGATGGCAAGCATTCATTTCATTGTATTTTCAGATCTACGCTGAATAACATTGCCCTGCGTGCCCCTATCGCTGCCGTTCTTGTGGCACGTATCTCTTGAGCTTTCAGTGTACACAACCGGCTAGAAAAACATGTAAAGCTATGACGTCATGAAAAGTGTTAGATGGCCACTTTAAGCTTCTTCTTCGGCGAATGTTTTTCCTCGGCTTTTTCGGCGGCTTTTCCGCTCGGCTGCACGTTGTCGCGGGCGCGCGCTGACGGAGGCCGACCGAATGCGTTTTACACTTTTCAATTTTTGTTTTCGTTTTCTTCTCTTGTCTTTACCTTGCCTATCTCTTTTATTCCCATTACTCCATTCCTGTGCCGACCTGTTGACGTGTCATCGTAAAGATATAAAGTTACAGGTGGCATTTCTCTTCTTCTTATCCTTTACATAATTACATACACACACGCACTGGCGCTATTGGATACAACGCGCTCCAATGTTTCCCAGGAACAAAATGCGCCGTTATTAGCACAACGCCGCACCCCACTCAACTTTGTCAATTTGGCAGACCGTAAAAATGAGCCACTATTTTTGCTGTCTTCGAACAAGGGTACCAATGCAGGCTGGTTGGTATTTTATTGCGAGACATTTCTGTGGCGACACGTAACCAAGCAGTTAGAAAGAAAACGAAGAGAAAGAAGATGACAGGAAAAAGTTAGAGGGACCGACAACTGGCCAGAATGTTGGTTTAGATTCTAGTAGAAATGAAAATACCTTGAAATACAGTCACATATTCCAGCATGTTTTTTTATGCGAAGTCTTTCTTTGCGAATTGCAAGCGCTTTTGGCGTCTATGTGCGCATCTATCTTGCCGCTTACGTTTGGGTGCTCTCGGGTTCACCCCTTTAATCTTGCGTGTACCAAAATTAATATGGGAGGAGAACCCGGTTTCACAAATATTACTCAGTGGTCAAGAAATGAATAATGTCACAATTTCATCGCGTACGTCGACAAACACTTCCTTCTAAACAGTGACACATACCGGAAGCTGGGTATGTGCCACTGGTACGCGGGTATATGCAACACCACCTAGACTAGTCTAGGTGGTGTTGGTATATGCCACAAGTGATTTACACTCGGCATCTGCGCAGGAACGACGAGAACACACATGGGCAATTTTAACACGTGAATGTTAAGACAAACCCGACCTCGGCAGCGCTGACCCGACCAAATGCCAAAAATAAACGTCAGGGTGCCAGAAGGAATCGAACCTAAGAATTCTGCATGGCAATCGAGCATTCTATACTACTGAACTGCACCTGGTCTCGGAACAACTTTTCATATATAGACCCTATAATGTTCGTAAAACGTTAATTGCGGTTGCAGTGCTGGCTATCCAATTTTATAAACATTACATGTGTACTCATACGATACAGCTGTCACATCGAACTAACGTCATCTGTTATAGGTGTCATGCGCTGAAGTCGGTTTATGTAGCAGTGTCAAGGGCTACCACCCTCGCGAGCACCAGCGCTTCATATCAGCTTATCGCTTCTGGTCTTGCTAATTTTCATGTTCCTGTTGGCATTGTTGCGAGGGTGCAAAGGACTGGCTATATAAACATCTGCAACCCTTCAGCATTCGTCTGTACGAGCACCATTTCTTCATTTATTTACCGTCAATTTACGACGCGTCACTCAATAAAAAAGATTACAACACCGTCACTTTCCGTCTGCATGCTTCACACAACGTCGATTCCCAAGATTTGTGGGATCTGGTGAATATTATTGCATTTTGAGTAGGATTTCTGTATTTTTAAATCATACTTAAAGGTAACAAAAACCGTCATGAGGCGCAGCCTAACGTGAGATAATTGAAGCTGGATCACTTTCCCGCGCGTAGTCGTGGAGCTTGAGCGCCAGACATCGAAATTAGAGTATGTATAATATTATCCAGGCCCACTCAATTTTGCGCTGCATAAGACGTAAACGATGAGAGGAAGCTTGCGCTGTCGTCACGGCTACCGATGGCCCAAATCGAGCCGCGACGCATACGCGCGGAGCGCGCAGTAAACCACCTCACTCGAACCACTCTCGCGCTTACAGTTAGCAGCATGTGAGTATACGACTTCATATTCACCACAGCTACAAGAATTCTGATTACAAGTGTTTCGTGGCGTTGTTAACTTCGCCATTCCGTGATTACACTCACTGAATGGTAAGCTCTCTGTTCCACTAAAAATGGTGGCACCTTAAAAATTGTCACTTCCTTTAACAAAGACCACGACGTAGAACTAAACGTTTTGCGTCACTTGAAAATATAAAGTTTTCAAAACACCACGTGTTACCCATACAACCGCCCCATTGCAAAAAAAAAAAAAGCTAACACACCGCCGCACCGCACCGTTGAAATAGTGCATCTCACATAGGAACAGGTCAAGAAACGGCTTGCTGGTGCATTAGTCCCACATGTTGTCAATGACGTAAGTTTCAAATAGCTCTCGTTCTTGCCTTTTTCAATATCTTGTTAACACTCGCTTCTTCTCGAGCTTAAGAGAGCACTCGGCTGAGCTGGAGAACAAAGTTCAGTTCCAAACTAAATAAAGTGGTAAATTGAAAATTGGTATTGAGCACACCTCTTCTCTTTTCGTAAGTGGTGGCCCGTACTTTCGCTCACTTTGAACGCACACAACATACCACGATAAACGCGGCACGTTTCCGACAATGATGCCGTTTTTCTTCGCATTGGTTTCCTTCCCCAAGTTAAACAACTAGCCAGCATGGCGAACTTTCCGTCACGCATATTAAATGCGAAAATTGGGCGCACTACGAAGCAGGGACCAAAGAGAGGGACGACACATGTGCACGTCCTTTTTTTTTTTTTTGCCTTGTTTTGCGATGTGCTGAATTTTCGTGTTTAAGGTGAACTGATACAAACTAGATCAAACGACTGTGTTACCACAATGTTTTTCGTCAAGAGCTTTAGACCCCATGTGTATACGTTCTCTGGTGCAACCAAAGGATAAGAAACGCTGAACCAGCTGTGGGGGTGTTTTGCCAAGCATCACTGTTTGTGCCGCCACTGCACATGCAGCAGTGGCGTCACACAAGGACGTAATCGCCGTGGTGTGGTGTACCCTGGGAGATTTCTATAAGCTTAGCACGCAACGAATAACTTGAAAACGAAGATGAAAAAAATATAAATGCCACCGTTCTTGCTTTATTGGACCAAGCATGCAAACTTGCCCCGTCTGTTTTGCCGTCCTTCAGTGACTTTGATCAAATTTTATCCTGTACAAATATTCGAATTGATTCCATGAGCTCGAACTCTTAAATGTATACCGTGTCATGCTAAAATTTGCACTGCATGCTTCGTTGCCACGGTTATTCAGTAGAAGTGGCTTCTGCGGTAGTTCTGGTGGAAGTGGCGTTGACCCTCTGTCTCGCCTCGTCCAGCAGTCCTCGCAGTCGTGGCAGCAGCTGCTTGTACTGGTACTTGCGGTTCTCTCGAAAAGGGTATTGCGGTGTCGGACCTATGCGTTCAAGGCGTGTCTTGACTGTGTCTTCGTACTTGTCGTACGCGTCGACAAACGTCTTCAGAATTAACTCCCTGAAGACCGGAGGACACCCGGCGCTGTCCTTGAGGGCAGCTTCGACCTGACCGCACACAGCGACCCTAATGGTCTCTTGCCGGACTAAGTCGTTGTAGAGCTCGGCAAAAGACGACCGGGCTGACTCCAGCGCGGGCTCGTTTTCGAACGGCTCGTCGTTCAATAGTGACTGGATCGAGACGAGCACACTCTCAACGTCCTGAGCCGGGCTCCACTCCGGCTCCTTGGCCGTGCCGAGGATGTTGAGGCACACCTTGCCGTCGGCGTACAGATTGGGGTTGAAGTTCACTCGACCAGCGTCCGTGGTCACCATTCGAACGCGTGGTGGCATTGTCGGGTAGTTGGACGGGAACTTCAGGAGAAACTGGAAGAAGCCTCCCTCGTACGGCGTGCCTGGCGGACCCACGATGAGTGCGTGAACCCGGGTGATGTCCTCTTCTTCGGGCGAGATGTACAGGCCCGTGGGTGGCTTGGCCGCGAACTTCGCGAAGTCCCTCTTTAGGCGGAGCAGGCAGTAAGGTTTTGGCTGATCGAACATGAACTGGAGCGGGTCCCATTCGTAAAGAGACCAATGCATGGGTCCACTTGGAGTTACTTGCGACATCCCGTGCGCTTTTCGGCGAAGATAGAAGGAGACAGAGAACGAAATAAGTTTTCGGACTGGCACAAACACCGCTACGGTGCAGCCGTTCTGCCGTGCCTTTTGCTGCCCACTGATCTTGGTGCACGGCGTTTTTATACACAGCCACGTGGCACGCTACCGCAAGAATAAGCCAATAATCGGCTTGCTGAGCTCGGAGATACTGCTTGAAAGGCAGTAGTTACAACGTGAAATAAAAATACGTGCACGTGTAAATACGTGGGTTGTGCGATTGCTCTAGGCGTTGTTATCGTCATCACTGCATGCACTTGCAGGAGTTACTGGCAACTTTAGCGAGGAATGTTTATCCCCAGTACCCGAAATTTTTTGCATATTTCAGCCTCCTCGATATCATGAGCCCACCTTCGGTGATTTCAAAATCGCTTCACCATGGTTTTGATGTAAACAACGTCTTGAAACTGAGTGCACTGACTACGTGAGCTTGGACACTCAACACCTGCTAATCTATAACGGCAGGTACCACGGTATGGCAATAGACACCAATGCTAACTTAGTTTGTGGCATATCACTTCTTCGCTTAAGCTTTGCTTCATAGCGTTCAATATACATCCTGTATCTCAATGATTAGTCAACCTTTCAGATGGGCACAACAGCTGATACAAACCGCTTTTTCTTTTAGCTGAAATATCACGATTAGGGTAGTGGTCAGGCACCGTTCGCGATAACTCGGATATGAAAGCTCAGCGTAATGCTACAGCACGCATCATTACATTGCATGCCAATAACACACTTACTTGCCCGTCTATCTTGCAATGCCAACAAAAGGACGAAGAAATCGAGGATGCAGCTTCTTCCTAATAACCAAGGAAATCGAACGATTTCATTGGGTGCGTATATAGATTCGAAAATATTTTGAATCACAGGAGCGAAAAAAAAGTGCGGATTTTCGAAGTGCTAACAAATATTCGTTCTACGAACAGAAAGTTCGTTTGCGATACGCTGAAGGCTTGCATACACATATTTCAATTCACGTGCGCACGAACGTGGGAAGTCAAGTTTTTATTTGAAACCCCTGTACAAGAATACTGTACAAAAAATTCCTGTAACACGAGTGAACCCCACGAGCAAGCCTATGGTTGTTCGAGCCACACGCTAATTATCGGACCACACAGGTACTGCATATACTCACCATGCATACTTTCAGTCTCCTGTGCGTATGAGGGATGCACCGATAGCCCTGTTGAGTTCTGTGCGTGAACGACGGGGATGATTACTAAAGCGAAAATTGCTCCTGTGCTCATCTTTCCTTTTACCCTTCTTTCACATGAAGCCTAATTACAGAACTACACCGATAAGTGGACGGGACAATACAGAGTTAAGCCGATACGCCAACATGGTACGTGACGCTTTTCCTACAGCGTGTGTCCGTAGGCAGACAAAATGCTGGATACAAGAAAAACAATAAACGCTATTCTTAGTAACGGCCAAAACTTGGCACTTATCCAGAAGTTTGAAGCCTAATCAGTTGGCGCGAAAAAATAAGGGACTTTGCCGAGTGTGCGCGACTACTTAAGCGAAACTACTGTGTGCGAAGAGCCATGAATGGTGTGACGTAGAGGCGTTTACGGTGATGAGCGAAGGTGGTTCGCTGCGGTAAGGCTTGCGGTGGCTTTTGTTTGTTTGTTTGGGTCACACAGCAGTATTACGATACTATAACTCCGTAGAAAAATACAACAGCGGCTGACGGTAAACAATCTAACCGACCAACACGAACTCGTAAAGTCCCGAGTCTCTCCTCCCAATGAGACAGCGCCGGTGTACAACAGTCGTCACATGTGGAATAGTGTACCACGGAGCTTGGGTATACACGGCGTACTCAGCTTCCCGAGTGCTCGTATGATTATGTTAGGGAAAGCCTTCGAGAATAAAAGTGAAGCTTCTTTGTAAAGCCTCGTGTCAATCTTGCTACAGCGCTGTTTTACCATGTGATACCACATGCATCGCTAAGTTCTTTCTCTATAAGCCATGGATGGGTATCAAACTATAGCATCCACTATCTCTAAGTTTAGTCCCCCCACGTTCGGGACAGTGAAGAACGTCGGATGGGAAGGGAGGAGGCGTCAATAAAACGTCAGCTAACGTGGCCATTTGAAAGAAAGCCTTTCTTTATGTTATATACGTTTCTGGAGCAGATTGGGCCTCAGGACTCGAGAAACGCACCGATACCGATTGCCACTATGACTAAAATCTGGTAGTCAATTCCAAAATATACATTCTGTTACACCGTCATGTTTTAACGCCTGGTGAATAAATGGCGATGGCATGGGGTGACACACATGTGGCACGGAGGCTGTTATATGTGGGCCAAGTCGCTAGCAAAACAAGCGTGAGCCTCATGTGACCCGAGTGTTCAGTACAGTTAACGCTCAAGCATTGAAGTGTAACAGCTTGGGGTTAAGCGAGGCAGCACAGTATCACTCAATGCGAGTTCCAACATGGTAGTTATTGTTGAAGGGACCCGATGCCTGTACACAAGAAAAACTATCAAACGTTAAAATTGGTTTAGAAAATACCAGTTACTGAAGAGTGTTTATTTCACTCGTGTTTTTTTTTTCCGGGTCGGCAACGCTTTGCAGTGCCGATGCCACATTGAGCGCGGACATATTGCAACTCATAGTCGACGTGACTGTACTATGTCACCACCTTCTATGTCATGTTGGCGTGATTCGGCTCGGAACAGTTGCATGAGTCAACGTAACTTTTAGCGGCCAGCTTCTCAGCAAGATGTCCCTGTTATGCCAAGCAGTTGCACGTAGCCTTCGTTATATCAAAGGTTTTGATGTCGTGTTTTCATCAGGGAGCACTGCAGTATTACGGGGTTCCACTAAAGGAAGCGGCATTTTGTTTATATATACGCGAAAACGGGGAGCGATGCGCTTGACAGACCTGGTTTCACAGCTTTCCGGGGCAGCATGAAGAGTGATCCCCCGCTATGCTCTACGTTTCTATCTCGAGCGACCACGTCACCTTCGCGTCACTACTTACCTATATTACTTGTCGCACTTAGTGATGTACCACGCCGTGCTGTAATCCTTAGTTTTCGTTGTGCCAAAATACTCCTTCACGGTCGCTACGACGCTTTGTGTACCACGAGGTATTTTATAAAGGTACAAATGCGCATAGTTGAGCTCTTTTTCCATTACTTCATGGTAGTGGGTGCCTACTTACTCTGGCATTCTGGGAAATGACCAAGCGCAAGCAACTGCCTACGACAGCGTTAACCGTGTCGCCTTTCCCCTTTCAAGATCCGATGCAGGAAAAGAACCTCATGTACTATGGCCCGTTGTCTAACATTGGACTTGTGGTATGCACTGGCATTTACAAGTGTAACACTACATACTTGGGACCCTGGTCTCCAACTACGCAACCCGCTCAGCCTGCGAAGAAGTAACAGTTCCTTGCTGGATCATCTGTGGCCTTCTCAAGTGCATATTCAGTTGTTATGGGGACGACTGACAGCACCGCATGTAAAGTGCGTGGGTGCCGAGAGACAGTCGCACACCATCTCTGTAAGTGCACCCGCTTCAACACCGAAAGAATGAACCTCTCTGCCGCAACAGGCCAGCTGGCCAACCACCCTCTCACACGTGAATGAAATTCTGTGGCTCTGGCCTGCCCAGCTTTGGGCACAAGCCATTTTGAGAGCATTGTTCAGGTTGATTCAAGAAAGCGGTCTGAGTAACAAACTGTGACTGTTTGTGGACAATTTTGCCGCGTAGTACTCAGACGGTGCTTCGGTCACGACATTTTCTTTTGCCTCCTGTCACAAGCTATTCTTCTTTTCTTTCACTCTTTTACACTCCCTTGTCCCCTTCCCTAGCCCAGGGTAGCTAATCGGAGTTTTCATCTTTTTAACCTCTCTGTATTTTGTCTCTTTTTCTCCCTCTTTTTTTTAGTTATACATTAATAATCATATTTGATTAACCCTTGAAAACAATTTTCACCATGTAGTTATTTGGCAAAGTGATTATGAGATACCAGTAGAAGGTCTGAGTTGAGGGAATGAAGTACTCTCATCCCAATTAGTCGCCGTCAGATATCACGTTGCACGTCACACCGCTTTTTTTTATTTGTCATTTGTTCGTTGTCTTTTTATATCGTCTTAAGGCTTGCTCCCTTAAATCTCTGTAGTCTCTGTGAGAGGCAAATTATCTGTTCTGCAAACATTTATAACTTTCTCACCCGCGTTCACTCTCTCTTTTTTTTCATTATACAACTAGACCACTGTGAGACTTCTATGCTTGACAGTCGCTGTCAACCTCTTCTTGTGAAATATGACGCCAAGACGTCGTAAATGTCGTCTATGCCAGAAGGCACTGTCCGCAGATGCCACACAGACTGACTTTATGATCATGTTTTTCTTGTGCAGGCGAGTAGCTTCGCAGACTATATACGTGACCTGTCTTAACCAACTGCGTCAAGACCAAGACTCGTGATGCCACCGGATCTCATCAGATATGCATCTAAGGGCCCAATTACTTGGAAGCTCTACTAGGCAGTAATTTCAGCATTTTTTTCAGTGAAGCCATGTCTACATCTAGCGGCATTCAATAAAATAAACAAATTTCAATAAAATGCAACGCTATAAATCTAAGTAGGTGTCATGAACCCCTCTGAAACTAAAGCATGTGCAGCTTCTCAGTCTTCAGGCAGTCTAGAAATACCCTAATTTGCACTAGGAATCAGTTTGTGAATCCTTACATATCCACGCCCCTGATCAGTGGATGCATAGTTTGGGTTAACGCCAACAATAATAAAAGTGAAAGAAAGAAACAAAGACGACTGAACATTTCTATATTTAGGCAGGTGAGCCTCAATGGCCACAAAAAATCTTCAGCATTTATCTTATTTTATCAATTCAAGTACCTAACTAATAATAAACGGTGTCAGATAAACACTGCGAGCTGTTAAAGTATCCACGTTGCTTTGTAAATGATATGGTTAAAGCTACGCGCTATTTATTTAGGTAAGAAAAAAAGCAGGGCACGAATTTCTATATATACCCTTAGCTTGCCTTCGTGCAAAGAAAACACATTCCCTATTAAATGCGCTTTTCGTATCGCACTTGTGAACCATTTCCTGCGACCATGTTTGGAATAAATTGAGAGCCTACCTACAAATACCAGCAGTGAAACTAGAAGTACCACAAGCGCGCAGAATACGCGGTACATCTTGAATATTTCGTGGCGAACACTGTCCACTTGTAGGCGATAAATCACTCCCATCACTAGTTTGAAGTCTATCAAGCGGGATTATGAGTTGGCTCAATAAATCAAACACGTTTCTATACAGCTACAGATGTCTAATCTCACACGCAAGCGCAGAGTTAAACTTCAGTCATGCGAATCGATTCTCAAGTGGCGCTATGTGGCAACGCTTGTTTGCGACGTACAGCAACCACGCGGGTAACTGATTTCAAGATACCAGCAGCGGCTTGCGTAAAATGTCAGTGAATTGCACTGCCATGTCATATATTATCAATACGCCGAGTCAAAATTCGTTCACTCGTGGCTGCGCGTTGTGTCTGTACTGAGAAACTTGTACCAGGTATACCCGACTGTCGAAAAAATCGTCTGACCGCAGCCTCACACGAGAGGGGCCAAATGAGTAATGTAGTTTTCGCTACCTTACTGAATGTGTAGAGAGATGCAGAGAAGTATGTCCGAAGCCGAGCCCAAATATGAGCACAACTTTGCAGCAAACAGACTCGACACTTGAACCAGAAGCGCTTATCTATGCGTCACACGAAGGCTGTTTATTGTCCGAAGGCGTACTAAGGCTCATCCTGGTGATCTGTGATGTCCTGAAAACTACATGTACTGACGTAATCGTGTGGTGGTTTTTCGCATAACGCGCGTTGACGCCACCTTCGCCGTGGGTGGTCAGTTTTCGTGTTTGATGCGGCATCTGGGACCTTTGCCTTTATAGAAGAAGAAGCCAGAGACGTATTGTATTTCAAGAAATAGAGGCAGAAGGTGCCATCATAAGCACCAAAGTTTATTCATGAAAATAATTTGTTTCTGATTATCAATTCGTTAAATTTTGGAGACGCATTTCTGAAAGAAATCGAGAGGTAGAGACATGTTAGGAGGGTGTTAAGTTTCCCATGTTACAATATTTTAATGAATATAAAGCTCGACATAATGATCACCAAGTAAGTTCAAAATATTTAACGCTCATCTGGTAAAGATGTGCCACAAAATATTGAAAAAACTGAATTTCACGTACGATATGCGCCTTCTACCTTGCGCTCAATACAAACATACGAGCACTGTTAGCTTCGTGCACTATGCAAGCTGCCGGTAATATTCATACAGAATCAATGTTACAAGAATTACGAGCACGTTATTTAAGTAAAGATGAAACAAGGGCTTGTGAAAGAAGACTGGCAACACTGTTATACAATTGCTTATGGTCATACATGGCTAAAATATTGTGTAAATACGTCCGTGAGACACGCAATGTTACCACTTTATTTTCGAAAAACTTTATGAACTTTATCGTAGAATTAAATTTCACTATCTTGTGAGCATCATCGGGTGTGGTTGATTCGAGAAATTTCGCTATTTTTTCTTATTATGTGCACTGAAACCTATAGCTCTTAAATTAGGCAATTGGCATGGTTTCAGTAGCGCAGCTCCGCTTGCGCAGACATTGTTTCCTTTTCTTACTTATACGAGAGGCTATCGGCAACACGGTCCTCCGAAATAATTTTAAATAACAACGTGCAGATCAAAATTATCCCGCCAGAAACTTAGCTGTGACATTGCCTAGCCACCAGCATTTAGATGTTTACACTAGAAATAAACAGCGAAAGTCACGCAGGCACTAATTGACTGTAAAATGCACATCGGCACCTCCGCCCCCCCCCCCCCCTACCCCGCTGTTCCCTCATAGCCAGCAATGGGCGCTTCGTGTAACACTGACCTGCCCTCCACGCTAATCGAAAAACAACGGTATCTTTCTACATTTTTTACTCCACAGGACAAACTCCAACACTCTGATGTGCTTGTCCCAATAGCCCGGTTTATAGTTACTATATGGCGGCTCGACTCTAGTCATTTTGTGTGTGCTTGAATCCCTTCCCTTTTTCCCAGTTTCCTAATGGTCGATACTGGACTGGTTAATCTGCCTGCCTCACTCTCACTACCATTTTGTTTCTCTCTTCTTTGGCCCTTCCTTTCCTGATAGAGACAATTTATCGCCCCGCCGCGGTGGTCTAGTGGCTAAGGTACTCGGCTACTGACCCGCAGGTCGCGGGTTCGAATCCCGGCTGTGGCGGCTGCATTTCCGATGGAGGCGGAAATGTTGTAGGCCCGTGTGCTCAGATTTGGGTGCACGTTAAAGAACCCCAGGTGGTCGAAATTTCCGGAGCCCTCCACTACGGCGTCTCTCATAATCATATGGTGGTTTTGGGACGTTAAACCCCACATATCAATCATTAGAGACAATTTATCAGTTTGCAAATTATTACGCGGTATCCTCATAGACGGCGAAAGTGTCAAGAATGGTGGACGGTTTTCATTTTGCAGCGTGAAGTCATAAGGAAATTCGTGCAGTTTTCTCGGAAAGACAGCTTTTCAGATGCCGAAATATTTGCACTAGTCCCCTGGTATGTCCCGACTGTTCATGTAGCACGTACGCATACGCAGAACACGTGCTTTTCTCAAGCCCGGCTGACCATGCAATGCTCTCTTTATCCTAGCCCCCAACCTCCAAAATAGGGGGTTTGTTCGGCTTCGGGCGGCGTCGCCGACCAACTGGCCATGGTCCTCCTAACGGAGGAATGGCTATATATTTTCGTCTGGCCTCAAATAAAGTTATCTTCCTCTTTCTTTCTCTCTTCCTCTTTTTCTACCAATTGAGCTAACCAGCAATTGGCAGAGGAAGGGCGAATTTATCAATAACTTGAAGAGCCTCAGTATCCTCATTTGCAGCTTGCAGATTCCTAGACTAAGATGAATTTTTTGGCAAGCCCGCGTGGGCTTACTTGTGTGTTCGTGCCCCAAAGTTGTGGTGCCCAATTACCTTTTCTGAATAATTTGTCTATCTACTTCGTCATTCCTTCTAAGCTTACTGAAGCAATTTACCCTTGAATGATTGAAAATATATGACTTGTTTTAAGGTGTTATAACGAGAACTAGAAAGCAGACTTGTATGTGGATGGGGCCTGCACGGTCGTCACTTAAACCACCGTGTCGAAGCAGCATCATGACGTAGTGCGAAGTCTGGGATGACACATTAAGGCTACCAGTACACAGCATGTCAGTTTTTTTTTTTTACTCATGCGCTAAGGCCGATAATGTTCAAGCTGTATCAATGCATTAAACCACATTATTGGCCACGTCATTATGTATACGGTGCCTTGACCTCATAAAAGCCGCTGCGCGGGATCGCCAATACGTTGAGAAGCTGCATCTATGACGCCATGTGAAGAATAAATTAATAGCAATATGTTTTTTTTTTTGGCGCAACACGATAGTAAAGACAATTTTTTCACACTTACTCCGAGTATGCGGGCCTTGTCGGCTATTTCTCGTTCAGATGATTGCGAACCCTGAAATCAGCGGGGAAAGAAAATGGCAGCTTTGTCATAATGTGCATTGTTGCGTCTCTTGTTCTTTCTTTTGTTTTTCTAATGTTTTTACGCCTTGTATAATGATTTTTTTTGTTTGTGTGCACCTTTGTATAACATCTCTTCACACAAATGTAATTAACACTGTGTTAGGGAGTCATTCCACAACTCATGTGAAATTGTGGGATGCCAACTGTATAAATATAACGCACTAGACTATATTTTATTTGGAATAAGAAACTGATAATTCGATCGAAAAAAAGAATTTTTGTTTTCTTAAATACGCAATATTGTCGCATTGTTTATCAAAAGTTGTAGCGTCTAAAAGAAGAGCTACGCGCATGGCTGACTCTTCTTACCGCAATTTTTGAAAGGTCCTCCTCTTCTGACCGGGGACTGGAATGCCCATTTTTACCCTGTAAGCAAAGCCCCATATAGGTGAACAGGTGCGTGTTTGCAGCTTTGTACTGCGTTGAAATACCTCTATAGCGATATCTTTAACCTCTCCTTAGTGCGTGCACTCATGAATACAGAAACAGTGCCATAGAATACAACAGAACACAATAACTTGGTTTAGGTAACGTGGACAAGCTTTTTCGACAGGCATAAAGACAATAAAATTTATGAGGTCATGAGGGCATTTTCTACTGCTATTTTTCTTTGATTGATTGATTGATTGAATAATTGATTGATTGATTGATTGATTGATTGATTGATTGATTGATTGATTGATTGATTGATTGATTGATTGATTGATTGATATGTGGAGTTTAACGTCCCAAAACCACTATATAATAATGAGAGACGCCGTAGTGGAGGCCTCCGGAAATTTCGACCACCTGGGGTACTTTAACGTGCGCTATTTTTCTTTAATATGTGCGGTGTAATAGTTCCTGTAATACAAGATACAAAAATTTGCTGAGATGGGCATTTCATTTGGTACAGCGGGTGAGTGGGCAAATATGGCACTGTCACAAAACACGAAAGCTAATAATCCATTTATTTAGTAACTGTGACACTTCTCCAATCATGTTCAGAATAATTAAGCCAGACACGGACCAGGTTATGTGTGTGTGAGTTCTTATGTCGCGCTGTTGCTACGATATTATAGAAATATATAGGGGTACACAAAAGTATGATGACACAGTTCCTGCCAATAACCAAGGAGTCTATGTTGAGGACCACGCAGAAATAACCTTACCAGTTTACCTTTCCAATGGGAGTTTCTTTAGAGCGAATGTGTTAAAGCCGAGCTCCAACTGGCGCTGTATCATCCCCAGCCTAACGTCCCAAAACCATGGTATGATTATGAGATACATCATAACGAAGGGCTCCGGAAATTTAGACTACCTGGTGTTTTTTAACGTGCTCTATCTTCGCACAGCACAAGGGCCACAACCAGTTCGCCTCCACCAAAATTTAAACCACGACCTTCGGGATTTAAACCACGACCTTCGTATCAGCAGCAAATAAAAGTAGCCATTGATCCACTGTGGCATTGCACAGCATACCATAGTAATGTATATTGAAGTATAGTAATGGGGCGGCAAAGGTAAGTAAGGGGGAGGGAGAGGAGAGGGAGTAAAACCACAGTATAGCCATGTTTATAATAGTGTATCCAGGATATACTACAGCTACGCAGTATAAGTAAAGAAGGAAAACGGCACATAGTATAGCAACGTCCAAATGAACAGTCATTGTGCATAAGCACTTTCCAAGCTCAAGCTCACTGGTATTAACTTAAGCACTTTGATATGTTCACTTATGCCGACTTAAGTCAATCTTCTTACTTAAGCCTCGTATGATAGTCTCGGTACTTTCTTGCTTTTTTTTTTAATGTGGAGCATTTCTTATTCTCACGATGTCGCGTTTCAGCGTCGATGGTGTTGTCCTCCACACCCACACTGCGCATGCTTGCGCTTCGTGCCGGCCCAGAAAGACACGCACAAAACTGTCGCTCTCCTCCACCTTTCTCGCCTCGCAAGGTCGATGCAGGCAGCGTCTTCTACTAAGGAAAAAAATTGCCGCCCACGGGAGGCACTCGAAGAAATGCGTCGCAGAGTGGTGGGTAGTGTGACTGCTGCGTAATTGGGTATAATTTGGCAATGCTTAATTATTATTTCGTCTTTATTATTAAATGCGAAGCATTTCTTGGTGAACTTCAGCGACTTTGAGCCTATCTATCTATCTATCTATCTTTCTATCTATCTATCTATCTATCTATCTATCTATCTATCTATCTATCTATCTATCTATCTATCTATCTATCTATCTATCTATCTATCTATCTATCTATCTATCTATCTAGCCGCCTACGACAATTAGCTCTCCTCACCGTTTCGATAATGGTATCGATACCAAACTTGGTATGGCATAACATGACAGTATGAAGAACATCGCTGACTATTCATAACATGAAGCCCCGCCAGGGTGGTCTAGTGGCTAAGGCACTCGGCTGCTGACCCGCAGGTCGCGGGATCAAATCCCGGCTGTGGCAGCTGCATTTTTGATGGAGGCGGAAATGCTGTAGGCCTGTGTACTCAGATTTGGATGCACGTTAAAGAACCTCAAGTGGTCGAAATTTCCGGAGCCCTTCACTACGGCGTCTCTCATAATCATATTGTGGTGTTGAGACGTTAAACCCCACAAATCAATCAATTCATAACATGAAAATCATGACATAGATGTCATGAATTACATTTCATGGTCCTTCCGCTCCTGCGGTGGCTTCGTTCACATGGCATGTTGCAAAACTGGTATAGTATGGCATGATTCCAATTCAAACACAAGCGACAGACCCTAACATGAAAACATGTCTCACGTGGGACGTGACTTGATGCTCTCGTTCGCCTCCGCTGCACGCCCGAGGCACTCTAACGCAGCGACTCCAGAATACTATTCACCGATTTTCTTGCGCAGATCATCAAATAAACGTTTTGTTCACTCTCTTCAGACGCAAGACTATCGTCTTTCGGCGACATTTGCAGTGTAACATGCAGATACGGGGCCAATTTTTTTTTATTAGTAGACGCTGCCTGCGGTGGCCTTGCGAGGCGAGAGAGAAAGAGGGGAGCGACAGTTTTGCGGTGTCATCCTGGCCGGCACGGGACGCGAACATGCGCAGTGGTGGTGTGGACGGCGCCACCGCCGACGCCACCGAAGTGGGACATCATGCGACTAATAAATGCTCCACATTTAAGAAATGCTCCGCATTTAAAACCACTGCTCGCGCTCCACAATCGTTCACTGGCCACCCGGCATTTGCAGGCACTAAATCGCGCGTCCGGAATTCAGTGAGGGGCGCCTTGGCTTTCGTTTGACGTTGAAGGCAACGCTTCTCCTTCATTCAATAAATAAGAATACTAAAGACAAAATGCCAATTAAGCATTCCCACACCATACCCAATCGCGCAACGTTCACACGATACCTCCCTCTCACTGCGACGCATTTGGGGTAGCTAGTAATATTACTTAACCATGCATTATAAAAATGCAGCAAATAGTTACGCTGTCTTCGCAAGCGAGGGGTATTATCACAAACGATCAAATTTTTAAATTAGTGTGTCGCGTTTGTCCGGCTTTCGTTCCCGTTGATACAAAAAGTGGCTGGGCACAGAAGATCGAGGTTTCTTATATCGATTTACGTTTAATTTCTTACATTTAGAGGTCTAGACACGAAACACAACAACACGAAAAAAAAAACTCGCGCAGCGTAGTACTGTTCAGATAGCTGTGAATGTGCTTCCTAGCCGACCGCGACCTTTATGTCCCAGCCGGGGGCACGTCATCAACTTAGCTATAGCAAGGAATCCTTACAAAGTAGACTTAATATGTTCTATTCACCCTGAGCTTAGCCATTAGCTTAGCCATTAGGAATCCTTACAAAGTAGACTTAATAGGTTCTATTCACTCTGAGCTTAGCCATTTGAACTTTAGTTCAGAGTGCTAAACTTGTCGTCAATTATTATCAGTGTGATGAGCATCTAGTCGATTTTGATGCAGCTGTCCTACAATCAACAATGTTTATTGCCAGAGTTGTTTATCATACGTCTTTATTTCATTTTTACACTTGCCAGAGAAATGTGTTATTGTTAGACAAAAACATCTGACTGGGTGTTGCTCCTGAACTGCTTATTTGAGGGTAGACTAATTATCTTCTACCGAAATGTGACTAACCCACTTCGATCAGCACCAATTTGAGCAGGGGTGACTGATATTTCAACGCTGCACATACCTCTCTGAAAGCGCTGGACAAATGTGGGTTTTTGAACTTAGTCAAAGGGACAGGGACGTATTTAGTGATCATTTATGGGAACTGTGAGACTGGATGACTACGGCTTGTAGTTGTAAGAAATGTTAATCACATGCAGATACTGGTTGAGACTTTTTATGTGGATTACAGTTTTAAATATATTGCAGTTATTTTTTACAGTCCTATATATGATTGCAGTCGAGATAAAAACTACCATTTTGAATGCTTTTGAGTATATTTGTTTTTTATTGATTTAAAAATACTATCTTGTGTGGGAACTGAAACGTGAAGCTATTGACGAAATAGAAAAAAATGGTGATTACACATGTAAAAACAATTACTCACCTGACCAGACCTCCATTTTTTTACTGCTTGCTTGAGCTGGAGAAAAATTGAATCAATGTATTTCAAAGCACGCTTGACAACGTCAGAAGCACGGCGAAAATTGCGATGCTCAAAAAATAATTCGGCATAAGTGAGCCGCTTCGGCATGACAGTTAAAGAGACTAATATAAAAGACATAAAGGTCAACTTTTACTAATTCACAAAGAAGTGCTCAGGATTTAGTATGTACGAAATAAAGTAGAAAACGTCTTCAGAAAAATAAATGAAAGAAGTTGCACGTGGTTGCAGTGCATGCAATTTCGAGTAAAATCAACCATGCTATCAGGGGCCAATGTGGTAATGCAAAGAATGTCAAATATACACCTAAACATGCGAAATTCACTTACATGCACCTTCACGTGAAACTCTTTAAGAAGACTATATAGTGAAGTATTTGTGAGTATGAAAGCTAAATAATTGCTTAAACATACATCTGTTCCTCTGCGAAGGACGTGCTACAGTTTGCAAAAATAGAAACTATATCTACCTGTTCGTACTGTTCAAAAGTCAGCCCCGCTTTATCAACGCACGCTTCCAGAGCCCCGCGTTTGCCTGGAAAAAAAAGAAAGGGACAACACGACCACAATACACGAGGTCTCGAAAAGTGTTTGCTCAAATCTTAAAGCATAGTCCAAGCGCCATATATGCTAACTACATTAATTATTAACTAATCTGCGGAGGAAGGCATGAATGCTGACAAACAATATTGAAGGTGACATAGTTTGCGGTATGTATTTGTCTGGAGACACACTCATCACCTACATATTATCGGCTTATATTATAGCACATATTTCAAATCAAATTATTAAACTGCGTGCTGCGCCACTGTACGCGAAAGACGCCTTCAATTTTAGTGTTAACAAACCACCACCTGTAAGTGTCGCGTATTCGCGCTCGTTTTCCACGAGCTTTGTGAGCGATCTCTTCTAGAGAGAGAGAGAGAGATAAAGATACAAGGAAAGGCAGGGAGGTTAACCAGACGCACATCCGGTTTGCTACCCTGCACTGGGGAAGGGATAAAGGGGAGAAAAGAGGTTGCACAAAGATGAGAAGGTACACACAATCACGAGCACACTCGGTGAGCACACACAGTTCACAGGCGGTCGCTCAGGTTTGTTGACTTAAGGTAAAGAAGCAGTGCTTTAGTTGCTTTCTGCGCAACTGAGGCAGATGCCCAAGGTCCTAGTATCTTCCGCACACAAAATGGTCCGGGGTCAAGTCGATTCAAAACCATCCGTAGCTGGCATCGCTGTGTGTCGTAGCAAGCGCAGCTGCAGAGGACGTGTTCGATGGTTTCTTCATCTCCGCAGTAGTCGCATGTAGGAGTGTCTGCCATACCAATGCGAAAGGAGTACACCTTTGTGAATGCAACACCCAACCAAAGGCGGCATAACAATGTCGCATCGGAGCGGGAAAGTTGTGATGGTAGCTTTAGCTTTAACGAAGGATCCAGTTCATAAAATTGACACCTTTGGAAGCTGGTAGACGACCAGAACGTGCGTGTGAGATCTCGAGCCAGCAGGTAAAGTTTTCTTGCTGCATCATTCCTTGATAGAGGAATCGGGACTACACGGGTTTCTTCATGGGCTGAGCGGGCTGCATCATCGGCTAGTTCATTTCCGGTAATACCGATATGTCCAGGCAGCCATTGATATATAATATCATGCCCTCGTGCTAGAGCTTCATGATGGCAATGTCTTATTTCTTGTACCAGTTGGTCATGGCTCCTCCTACGCATGGCAGACTGCAAACTCTGAAGCGCTGCCTTCGAATCACAGAATATGACCCATTTTCCTGGACGTTCTTGAACGAGATATTGTAAAGCAGCCCTTATAGCAGCAAGCTCTGATGCCGTAGATGTAGTCATATGTGACAACTTAAATTTGATTGTCATTTCTGCAGCCGGAATTACAGCGGCACTTGATGAGCTGCTGGATGAGACGGACCCATCAGTGTATATCTGCGTTCGGTCTAAGTACAACTCATGTAATAATAGCAGTGTTGCTTGCTTCAATGCTACTCTGGAGTGACTGCTTTTCTTTTTGATTCCCGGAATTTCTAGACGTACTTGCGGCTGGTCGAGGCACCACAAAGGGCATGCCGTTCTCGCAGCTGGCGTATGTCCTGATGGAATGCTGTTTAGGTGCTTGGCTATGACGTCTGAAAACGTAGCACGTGGTCTTTCGGAGGTAGAAGGGCCAAGTGGTGGTCGGGGACACGGCTAGCATGTCGAATGTGCGCTCTGAGGCAATCCACAGCTATATATGTCCTGACCGGATGGTCTTTGGCAAGCATGATTGTGGCATAAGTAGAAGCGCATCGGGGCAGTCCTAGGCAGATACGCAGTGCCTGACCCTGCAAACTCTCCAATGAATGAGTATTCGATTTGCAAGTGTTAGTCAGTACCGGCAAGCTGTAGCGCAATAGACCCAGAAATAGGGCCCTGTACAGCTGTAGCATGGAGGCCACAGAAGTTCCCCATGCTTTACCGCACAAGAATTTCATGATATGCACAATAGATAGCAGTCTCTTCTTCAAGTACGCACAATGTGGGCTCCACGAAAGACTTCTGTCGATTATTATGCCCAGGAAACGATGCGTCCGTGCATATTTGACACTCTGCCCATTGATGTAAACAGGGTATGGCGTCATTGGTTTGCGTGTAAACGCCATCAACGCGCACTTCACAGTTGATATATTTAGGCCTTGTTTCTGAAGGTAGGCTGTTGTGAGTGTTGCTGCCCGCTGTATTCGTGCACGCACCTGAGGGCGAGTAACTGCAGCACTCCAGAGGCAAATATCATCGGCGTATATGGATAGGCACACCGACTTTGGCAGAACCTTCACCAGACCAATGAGGGCCACATTGAACAATGTGGGGCTTAAAACACCTCCCTGAGGTACTCCGCAGTAGGTGTAATGTTCAGCAGTTGTACCCTCATATGTTTGTACAAAGAAACCTCTGCCAGTTATATAATCTTTTATCCATTGAAACATTCGTCCACCAACGCCCATCGCTGCGAGAGAAGTGAGGATGGCATCGTGAGCTACATTATCATATGCACCCTTCACGTCAAGAAAGAGTGCCACTAATATGCGCTTGCGACTTTTTTCTTGTTGAACAAATGTCGACAAATCAAGGACACAGTCAATGGAGGAGCGGCCCCGACGAAAGCCTGCCATGCAAGAAGGGTATTTGGTGTATCGTTCCAAGTACCACTCGAGACGAAATAGAACCATCCTTTCCATCACTTTTCCGAGGCAGCTTGCGAGGGCAATAGGGCGATACGCTGTCAAGTCCAATGGTGATTTCCCGATTTCAAAAGTGGTATTAATCGACTAATTTTCCATTCTCGGGGAACACTGCCGCTGAGCCAGGAGTTGTTGAAGCATGTTAAAAGTTCTTTTCTAGCTTTTTGTCCAAGGTGTCCCAACGCACTATAAGTAATACCATCAGGACCTGGCGATGACATGCGCTTAGAAGCGACTAACGCACCTTCCAGTTCTTCCATGGTGAACGGAATGTCCATTTCTGGTAATCGCGTCTCAGGAACGATCACGGCGTCGATGCTCTCGTTCACGATATTCCCGGCAACTCTCGTGCAAAATTCTTCAGCCACCTCGAGTTCTGTTTTTCCCTGATGGAGTGCCAAAGCTTTAAAAGGGTGCCGTTGTTGTGGAGAGGAGCGAAGACCACGAACTGTTCTCCAGATATACGACAGCGGTTTATGAGGGTCTAGAGATTCGCAGAATGCTTTCCAGCGTTCGCTCTCCAGTTTGTAAATGCGTCGTTGAATTTTTTTCTGGAGCCGCCTTGCTTCCCTCAAATCGTAAATTGATCTTGTGCGTCTGTATCGTCGTTCTGCACGCCTTCGTATAGCTCGTAATTTTTCCAGTTCGGTGTCAAACTGTGTAACTTTAGACGAAAATGATAATTTACATTTGGAAGCTTGCATAGCTTCCACTATGGTATTTTCCAGGCTGCAGGCGAGGCCGTCTTGGCAAGCGTTCTCAACACGCGATGCAAACATCGACCAGTCAGTGCCAATTGCAACACCGGAAGAGAAATTTTTTACGATACCATCGATCGTCACGTAGGTGGGTATGTGATCACTCCCATGAGTCTCAATATCGCAAAACCACTTAACTTTGTGAGAGAAGCACCGTGACACCAATGTCAGGTCAAGGCAACTGCCATACGTGAGACCCCGCAGATATGTGGGGGTACCATCGTTCATGATGGAAAGGTCGTAATCGGAAGCGAATGTAACAATGTTCCGGCCCCTGGCATTCATCCTAGTGCTCCCCCAAAGCATGTGATGGGCGTTGAAGTCACCGGTTATGATCCAAGGCCCATCGGTTCTCATTAGGATGTCTTTTAATCTGTCGCAGTCAAATCGCGATGACGGAGATATATATCCACCAATAAGCGTGAACGAAACTGCATTCTTCTTCACACGAAGACACACGTACTGATTGTCGTCATTTGAACTTATTGGGTGCGAAAGATAAGTCAAGTCTGTGCGAATGTAAACAATTACTTTGCTACGTCCTTCGCAAGCTTCTCTTCTAGAAGTTTTTCAACGAAACGTGGAGCTGACGGTATAGCGATTTGTGTCACTTGATGCGACAGTACATTCGGCGTCCCTGTATGACTGGACGTTTTCCATTTGAGTGCTGGGATTTTATGCAAAATGGCCCGAGCTTCTCGGGCAGATGAGTTTGCTCCGAGCTCACCCTACGGCGCCTATGGCTTCAAGACATTCTGGAGCGCATGATAGCAACGCTGAGAAAAATGGCTACAAAAACGCACGTGTGCCAGCAACGCATGTTGGACATTTGCTGTGGTTATCAGAGGAACACCACGTGCGCACATGTCGCACGTATAGTTTATCGAATGCAAATATACTAACACAATAGTTGTTTTAAACAGGGACGTCGTGTACGGTCGTCAGCTTGCTGCGCTTATCTTTACTTTGGCTATGTTTTGTTTTTGTAAAGTAGGATCAGCTTCTACAACTTCGCTATTGATTCCCAGTCACGCCCTTTCCTCAAAACCTCAAAACGGCAATGGGCTCTTCAAGATGTGCCCCAATTCTTTCCTTTCACTCGACATGCTGTGCCCACTGATTAAATATATAATTGAAATTCTTTTACAATATATAGATGTATATTATTTCTTTAGTAACACAAATTTTTACGAAAAAGTATACTTATGAAAGCAGCGAGCAAACATTTCATTTTCTCTATTTTTACAGATTTTCAAGTATATTTCTTGTAACACCCTTTATATTTATATGGTATTACAAGCTGCAAAACATCTCGAAAGTAACAAATGCTGTCGAGAACGATGCAAAGACAATGACTGTTGCCTCACTTGGTTCGCAACAGCTCAACAGTCTTTCTTCTTCTTCCGGGCTGAAGATGTGCTTCATCAATATGCGCCAGTCTCGCAGAAAATTTTCTGCAACGAGGTAACGTCACGAGTAAATAACCTTAGCGAGAAAACGCAAGGTGTATTGACAGGCGTGGTTCCTGCTGTCAACTTCGTCGGATTTCCGCCACGGCGAGTAAGAGTAATTGAGCCTAGTCATCAAACCTGCCACGCTGAGGAATAGGGAAAGTCATTTTTGTTTTCCGTCGTTCGCGTACCATGTGAGACGTATAGGTAGTGAGACACTTGAGGAACTTTGTTCTTTCAGCTTTACCGTTAACTCCAATTAACTGTGCGCTAAGGTAAGGCAACCATAGCTTTCTCAATATGTAAGCGAACTTGATCAACGGGGAAAAATAGCTTAGCCCCTTTCATCAGAAAACAACAGTGCGAATGTTTACGCAACCCTTTTACCCTAGTATGCACTTCTCCCAATGTGTAGTAGCATACCTTGTATGTATCAGTTATATCATATGTATCATACGCTCAATGGATAAAAATGGAAGAATCTTGAAATAAGGCACGAGAGGCTTGGAAACAGCCCAACTGGACGATTCTGAACACTAACCCGGTCGCTTTTTAGTTGCTCCTATGCCTTAGCTGATAGATCCAGGTTGTTTCGAGGTTGCTTCTATGTCGTTGTGAGGCTTTAGATAGGCTATGCTATAGGTTTTCTTAGCGTAGATAAGTTCGAAGTTAAAGTACAGACGACCACTAATCACGACACAAGTTGTCCAAACTTCACAGACAGAACCTCGCGCTGAGACCAAGCGCTTCGCACCTCTGATAGAACTATGGGCTAGTCGTCGTTGGCGTATAGGCCGACTACGATTCGCTTCCGGGTGGTCTTCTTGCAGCTGACGTTGACTTTTCCGTTCCCTAGTATCCTCTCGATGTACCTACTCGGGGTCTCTGGCTAGCGGCCATTGATTCGCTGCTATTAGACGGGCTACACTTGCCCTCATCACTTAATGTTGTTCAGTCGTATACACTGAAAACACACCAGACCTACAAGAAACGCGCAGCACAGTCCCAGCGAAAGCTAAAAGAGCGGCCTTCCAAAGCCTTCTTCTTTTTCTTTTTCTTCTTCTTCTTCTCTTCATCTCATGGCTCTTACTCAATACAGGGGATTGGCCGAATGTTAGGTGAATTTTTTTTTGTTTCTTCGCAATTCTACTCGTATATGCTAGGGATCAGTTACACAACAAATAATTACGGAATAGTGATATTTAATGTTTAAAACAATGAAGAATTTAGCTCTATATTCTTTTAGTCTGACTGATAAATTCCTCTATGGCGTAGTAAACATCCCTGTGACTGTAACCCAGAGTAAAGGCGCCGAATGACAGAACAACTGATTCGGATATTTCCAGGCCCAAGTTTCGAAGAGGTGATGCTATGAATTTTCTTCTCAATGACGTATACCGGCGACAGGATAGAAAGTAATGACTGATTGTTCCCTGCTCCATGCAGAAGATACACAGAAGAGACAACGCTTGGCTTGCTCTATGCAGGTAAAAGTAGCGGGAGGTAACCCGGCAGTGAAGTTTGGTTATGGCCACTCCCATTATCTTAAACACTCTTTGAATAACTTCTACAAACACACTTGCTGGGTACCTACTATGCCATAAATGATCATAATTTTGTCTAGTAGGCGAGCATTCACTATGCTCGTCATTCTTAGGAGAAGCGTAGGGTCCGCTACACACTTGCTAAGAATTTAGCGCAATTTTTTATGCAGTTGCTGATAGGATGAAAAAATATGCCTGAAGTGGGTATGCGTCACAGTTATTAGGCGGTGAGGAACAAATTTTCTAACGGGTTGGAGCATTAGACGACCCACTCGTTGCGCAATTTGCATCTTGTGAAGCCTGGTTGCTCCTTTGATGTTCTAAAGCGCTTTATTACTCACATTGACGAGATTCCTTTCCCGGCATCAAGCATGCAAGCTTAGAAATGAGTTCCAAGCACTGGTGTTGCTCAGTGCTAGAAAACTGGGCTGGCACGCAACAGACCCGGGTTCTGAGTCCATTGTGACATTGGGCCTGGCTTTTTTTAATACTGGTTATGGAACGCCTGTGGTGGCAGCGGCGGAAAACTATGGCGCCGCGCGTGACCCGTGTTCTGATCTCATAACAGCTTTCGCTGTGACATGAAGCCGTGGACCAATGAGATTTGCCACAATTTTCGTGGCACATACCCATTTATGATGACAGTTTTCGGCTATAGATTTTGAAGGAATCAGCTGTTCTAAAAAACAGCAGTTGAAGAACGATAACGTTTTGTTAACTTCACTTTTTTGTCGTTTAAACAAAACTTTATAGACGTGCTGCTTGTCGCAACCTTCCCAATACATAAGCTCCATTGACGCTCAGTGCCTACGACAGCTGTAAGCGCGAATCACGACGCCCTGTATGCAAGAAGTATACAAGTGTGTGTACTCACTCCATTGCTGCGACTTCGGCTTCTTGTTATCTTCGGGTCTTTGACAAGCGACAGCTGGAAAACGTGGGCATCGCAAGGGCAAGACTAGTCAGCCGTTGCTTTACTGGGAGCGCAAGCTGTCATACACTACATTTATAAGCTTAATGATATAGCCAGTCTTCTGCTATTGCACAGCGCCTTTCCGACCCCAACGAGTGCTCCTCTTCTCTACTAAGATGAATCTTTTTTGAAGCATCTGTTATGTTTTTCTCCTGAAAGTGCATCTCCCAAACTCATAAATCGTTCGCTGGTGATGATAATGCGTGTAACACGATTCATAAAGCGCAAAAATCTCCAGTTTCGCGGAAGGCGTTTATAAGTGCACAAGTTACAAAAAACAAACTCAACCTCGTTCCACGAAGTTAACCGTACTTTACGAGTGCCCACTTCCTGCAATTTCTGTCGTCATTGTTTATTCATTTTCCTGTTGAATACCAGCCCTTCTAGCTCGCCGGTGAGCTGTAACATATTAGGAAGGACCCGCCCCGTCAGTACCACTTCGCAACAATATAAAGCGCCGAATGTTCTTTCCAAGTGCCAATACAGAACTTATGGGCCTCTCCAAGCACCGTGCTGTGTCGAGCACAAATGTCCTCCACTATATTTCGCACTATTTGTGCGAGTTGGCGCCTGGTCGGCTCTGCCGATGACGTCATCCGCAACGACACTATAGCTCATTATCTAGGTCAGTCATCATTCGCCGTGACATTTGCATTGATTACCTCATTACTGACGACGTTTAAACTTTTATCGCCGAGTTTCATATGCCTATATCAAGAACCTTCAGGCTGAGACCATGTACGCTCGATTATATAAGCACAATGTTTCTTATGCAAGAGATAACAATTCGAAGCCGCGTTTGCACGAAGAACTGTTTACTCGAAACAGACAGCATTTAAATACTATCGACCGGTGATGCAATAAACGATGATTAGTAATAGACTGAATTTTATCATCCACCAACAAATTTTCTCACTGCCCATATGGTCGTAGTTTTGTAAATGTTAAAAATTTGGCCTACATGCACTTCTGTCATCTATAATATCTCTCACTGAACTTTAGTAGAGCAACGATTAGCGTTAGTTCGTGTACGTCTTGACACGCAGCGCAAACAAAGAACGATACAGTAAAAAGCGGACAAACTAGAACTTTTGATTCAGCGATTTTGTGTACACTCGCACCGTATCATTGCTGTTTTGCGTGGTATTCCAAGAACATTGCGTTGAGCAGTTCCTCGCGTGCCTTATACTGGTCTTTCAATTGCACGCGTTGACACCCAACATAGAAGTCGAGTTATAAACTGACAAAGCGTTCTAGATGGCTCGCGACAGGTGCTCTTTTTCTCGCAATAAACAGAAAGTGAGAGGTACATAGAAAAAAATTATTGAATGAAATGTAAACTGTGGTATAGTTCTGGTTCCTACCCTCAAAAATTGGGAGAAGGTTCCATGAAAGTGGAGCGAGAGAGACAGTAACAAGAACAAGCAATGTGCACAATACAGTGGTAACAGGAAACGCTCATAAACGTCTATCATAAAGACCCGCACACCGGAGAAACAAAAGTAGGGCCATTCAATTCTGCACTGAGCTAATCCGAGAACATCGTAAAGAGTGCATGCAGACAGGGAACAAAAACAGAGCACAAATGTGTGCTTTGTCTTCTCTTTCTGTCCGTTGCTCATCTCTCGTTGCCTTGTCTGGATGCCTCACTTTCACCAGCTACGAATCTCTGCCAACTACAGCCAGCATTCATGCCGTTCGAAGCGTGATTTCTTTGAGAACACTGGATTAAATATTTTTGTTCCGGTTGATGATACGACAGACTCAAGACGTGTCTTTGCCTGGCTAAACACTCGGCCTATTGGACTCACTTTGCAGAACGATCAACACGAGGGCTGCCTTCGCGAGCATTTTCAACGACCGGAAGCTCACCTGTTGCCAGCGTCTTGTAGAGCAGCGCGGTGGCAATTTGACTCGAGCGCCGTGTTTGAACAAGCTGCACGCTGTGTATATTTACGACGAACTCGTCCATTCTGTCGCTTGCGCTCGAGTTGACTTCTTTTGATGCTCCTCACCTCATCATCTCCAAAACATCTCGGAGAAAATTACGAGGCCTTCTAAAAAAAAAACTTCTCGCAGAGACGGGGAAAAAGCTTTCTTCGAGTGACGACTCCTGTCAGCATCGAGTGACTGAGAGAGAATTGATTGCTTTTCCAAGCGAGTGCAGGTGCTTGTGCCCGCGTGTGTGCATTCCGTTCATTTTGTTTTATTTTGATGTCGGTGGCGAGATAGTTATTGAATGCGTTCATACATGTGTGTCGTACACTAGTACGTTCACACAAGTGTACGAGTGTGCTGCGTGTCTGCGACATTCATGTGTTTGTGCTCGTCATCTTTGCCCATGTATGTGTGTGTAAGTGTGTGTGTGTGCGTGCGTGTGCGTACGTGTTTGTGTGTGCCCCTACGATTAAGCAGACTGTTTACCGAGATGCCCCTTTGTAAATCTGCGCCTAGCTGTTATTTTGGTCCAAAGAAATATACAACCGACCAATGAACAAAAACCTTACTTTTGTGCCACCGCACCATTTTGACTACATCGTCCGTTCATGCGCGTTCCATTATACCTTGCTCAAAAAAAGCCAACTTGCGTCTGATGCTCACGCACGCGAATATCGCGCACGCGACAATAAACTCCCGTGTGGCACGACGGGCGTGAATATACATGTCTAGACGTTTTTACGTCGTCATCAACTTGTAATGCAGTCTGTCATACGACTCAAAGGGCCAAATAAAATTCCTTTCTAGTTGCCAGGAAGGCTTTCAGTCAAATAAAATGCATTTGCATAACTTTAAGAATTTACTATTTCCAAAGGCAGCTCTTTACAAAAAGAAGAAGATGTCCAGCCACTAACTTCACTTACCTTTTCGATTAGGCCTATAGTACTTTTAAAAGTATAACTCCACGCACACAGGTAATAACTGGAAAATGTTGCTGCGTCGAAGCATGCTTTTGACGCGTCTCCAGTGATATAAATGTTTCCTCGCACTAATGACATCCTGCGCAACTGAAATGTCTCCATTAACTGCTACTTAGGCGCTGGCGAAAGTTGGTGTTTGTTTTGACAGTTTCAAAAATTAATTTTTTTTTGCATAGCAACAGTGCTTATTGCAGGTGAGCGTTTTCTCGTGTGTTGCGAGTGTATGTTACCCTAAAATAAAAGCGTGACAGAGTCGGAAAGTTCTCGTAAGAAGAGACACAAGATCGAGCATACGAATAATAAAGAACGCATGACTTACTATTGTAAACGAAGCTTACCGACAAGAATTTTGTGATCCCCAAAGTGTGTGCTACTCACCAGATGCAGTCGTGCGCGATTTTTATTTTCTTAAACTAGTCTACTTTCTAAAATTACTAGTGAAAAATGTACATATTTTATTGCCACTTTAATCAAGAGTTGCTGTTTCTCTCTGCCTTCTGAACAGTTTCCAAGCAGTCCTGAAAGGGAGAAAAAAAGAACGGGTGAGTTTAAACAAACAAGAGATTGACGACTTCAAGTTTCTCTCAAATTAGCGGTAGTTACGCCCTTGCTGCAGTTCAAATTTAAATAAAGAACTCGTCATGAAAGTCACACAGACTTTGTTCCCCGCAGAGGTATTTTAAAACATCTGCCCTTTAGCAATAACAACGCCGAGGTTCTAGATAAGAAAAAGAGAGGCCGAACATACAAAGCTGTAACACATACGGAGACGACGTAAAAATAGTTCGCTCCCAAATAACGTGAGACACAAAAAAAGAAATGCCAGAGAAGACAGCCACACAATACAAACTCGTTTGTGTTGTCTAGTTCTCTATTTTTGCACTTTTTTGGACGCCAAAGAAGGTATTCTTGCTTTTTTTTTTTACAAGATGATTTCCTGCCTCCCTCTTAACTTGCTTTTGTTGCAGATTACTCAGGCTAAAATAGAAATTGTTTCTATATATAGCGACTGTTGAGTGCTAATAATCCACAAATAACATATTTATGAAATACAGTAAGTTATTAGGAGCTTTCTTTTCTTCGTTAGAATATGTCCCGAACACTTTCATTGCTTTCACTGCGTCATAGCCGTGCCACAACACGACGCGCACGCGAGACCCGAAAGTAAATATGAAATGTACAATGCTTCTGCAACAGCTATAAACAGTCGTCTTCAGGACATAGTATTCCAAGAATACCTACGAAACGCAACTGCATGGTTAATATGAAGAAGAAAGCTTTGCGCAATTACATTTTTTTCATCGCAACGTCAGTTATTCATATTTTCTATTCGTGCATTGCGTGTCTGCTAACTTTTGCTCGGTTGGCTTAGATTTGTAATCAATACTGTCTATAACGCCCCACCGCGTTGGTCTAGTGGTTAAGGTATACTCGGCTGCTGACCCGTAGGTCGCGTGCTCGAATCCCGACTGCGGCGGCTGCATTTCCGATGCAGACGGAAATGTTGTAGGCCCATGTGCTCAGATTTGGGTGCACGTTAAAGAACCCCAGGTGGTCAAAATTTCCGGAGCCCTCCGTGACGGCGTCTTTCATAATCTTATCGCGGCTTTGAGACGTTCAACCCCACATATCGATCAATACCCTCTATAACCTGTGATTTGTTGTGTTATAACAATTGTTGGGGTAAAACACAACATAAAACTATGCATTTCTATAGAAATGTCTCTGCTTATTCATTTATTTCTTTATGTATTTGTTTGTTTATTTACTTTTTATTTATATTTATGGGTATCGAGCCATGTTGCTATTTTCTGAAACGAAAAGGTGTGGAAATGTACGCGCAGCAACCGCCAAGTATTTCTCTGGTTTGAACGGGACGGGACTCAAACTGTCTGAACAGCACTGAAGAGTAATTCACAACGAGCATGGCAATCTATAAAAAGCAAACACCTTCAGCTCGTAGGACTTGTGCTTGGACACAGTTATCATCATGTTAAGACACGTCATCATCAGGAACGCTTCTTAAGTGATCCTACGTCGACTTCGAATAGCACACACGTATTTCGCCCACAATTATATACTGACAGAAGACGAACAACCAATTAACATGCAACAAGTACTGCGAAGTGCTAACACTATTATTTTACTTGCCAGTCCCCATATATAAACACAAGCCGGACGCGTACCAGCATACTCTATAGGCTACACATGTCACTTCAGGGTAGAATTACTTCTAAGAAGTAGTTAAACTAAATTAGTCATTATTTTTTAACTTTCTAGCATGGAATTTTGTTTTAATACAAATTACAGCTGCCCGGAAGTAATGACCTTATATTAGTATTACTTTTGGAAAGCCATAAATCACTTTAGAAATGCTTGAACGAAAGTTTTTTTATGGCCTACATTCATTGAGATGTCGGTTATTTTTTGAAATAGTTTTCAAGCTTGAGGCTTCGCACTCATACTATCTTCTTTATTACTTCTTCTTCTTTATTACTTCTTTATTCTATCTTCTTTATTACTTTTTTCCTCTTTCTGTAGGCTAATCACTTTTACCTTAAGAAAGGCGGACATGCTATGTTTTAGTCAAAAGTGATTGGGAACGTAATAAGTACTGTTCCTCATTACTACTCGCTTGAAGTAATTTAGTCTTTAAAATACATTACAGTAAAAATCACTTTAATCTCTGAAACTTTACTGCGGCTGCTGTCCTACTGCCAAGTGGACCTTAGAAGAGCTGCGGAATAGTTCTTAGTGTAGACGGATAGTGTGATCATCGTACTGGCTTTCAAGAAGAGGCAATGATAACGTATTCATATCGCTTGTGTTTAGACGGAACATAATACTATAATAATTGTTTGGATCCCCTGCTATATGATTGAGAGCAACGCTGTAGTGCAGGCTCCGAAAATTTCTACCACCTGGAGGTTTTTTTTTTTTTTTTGCATGCACCTGATTGAATGTGTATACACGAGAAAATAACTCCGAAACGAACTTTAATTAGTGTGCTGGGCTCGACAGGTTTGTGCATTATTAGAGCTGAATGAAGCAGCGCCACGTCTGTCACTTATGCTTGGAAAAAAGCTGGGAAAATATGAAGTACTAACCCTCCGTAACCGTACTAAACAAGAATACCAGAAAATTACCTTTTTCTCTGTGAGCTTCGTATTGATGGTACCACATATATATCTAACCTAAGCACTATACCCTCACGTCATAACACCTTGAATTTCTGCAGGAATGCCGGTACAAGCCTCACTTCTTAGTGTTTTCCGAATTTATTTCTATGTTCTGCAGGACATAAATAAGCTTTTCCCGAGTCCAGTTCAGTCCGCTCGTGATAATTTGAAGGCCGAAAATTGCCCATTGTGCCAAATTATCAAGTTATTTTTCCCCTTCGTACGTCGGCTTCATTTGTATACGTCATTAGCGCATGGTAAGCAAACAGTGCCAAGACATCTCATTCTGCCCAACTATGGCTTTTCATTACCCTAGGCATAACTGTGCTCACGACAAAGGTTGCTCTGCAAGTTCAAAAAGGCATTCATGGAGGCCATTTAACAATTATTTTACTGCATTCATCGAAAGGTGGCAGAGATTGGAAATTTCTTATTGTTATAACGTGTACGTGCATGCAACTAATTATTCGTGTACGTTACGAGATGATAAAAAGTACTTGGGCTTGCCTTAATATAGATGGCGCTTCAGGCACTCAGTGCCCTAGAAGTTACTTACAGTTGATTGGGGATGACAAGAGAGAGAAGGGTTCCAAAACTGTTTGTATTAAGTTTCAAAAGCTTCTTTAAAGGGGCATAGTCGAGTAAATGGTGTATATCAGTTTTAACGTAATATTTTAGAAACTGCTCTAAGTATTTGCATAACTTGACACGCTCACATAGAATGCCACTGGTAATCATGTGGCATCCCCTCTTTTTGTTATCCCTAGATTGCCTATTTTTCCTATGGCCTGGTCCACTCCCACATATGAAAGTGAGTTGACTTATTTAATGAACCTTCCTTTTGCAACCACCTGAAGGAATGTAATTATATTCAGCCATGTTCTTGTAGAGACTCGTAGGTTATATTTGAACTAAAATATAAGACATCCTTATTATAGTTTTTGCTTAAAAAAGAAAATTACTGCATGGCACAAAGCCACACAATGTGCGTATTGCTGTTTGATTTTTACAACTTAACTTTTCTATAATATCAGCCACCTTTTCAGTTCGGATTGTTTCCAACTTGTAGCTTATTTTCAACTTGTAGCTTATACATTCAAAATTTCGTCGTAATGGATTCAATACCTTTTAGGAAAGGTACATTGAAAGTGAAACATTTACCAATAACGCTATTCGAAAAAAACGACGTTTAACATGTGCATAGTGCAGTTATCGTCCAAATGAGACTATATGTTCTCTTGGCCGATCCCCCAGAGTGGGTAAATGCCGTGAATTAGAGGCTACAAACAAACAAACAAACAAGCATACTTTTTTACGCCAGAGGACGCGCGACGCGCTATGGCGCGTTATTTAAACCGCTCGGAGCGGCCGCTCGACGTCCGGCTTCCATAGGTTTGCTCCTCAGATTGCAGTGGATTTTACGGTGTCGAAATTGCAAATTAGATTTTTGGAGGATGTACTCTACCTTACCATCTTAAGTAAGTGCAAAAGCTCGTTAAAGCTTCCGTAATATATACAACACACTAGGAATACTTAGGAAGGGAAGGAGATAAGAAATATGCGGCAATTTGTTACGTGAAACTGAAAGTGTTTCTATACATACTCACCATCAATCCCTTGAGCTTCTTGACCAAAGCCCACATGGATATTTTCCCTCGCCTCAACTGAAACAAAACGAACACAGTGGCATGGAGTCAGCAGATTCATGGCGAAATCGTAACGTTGTAGCTCAATAAGACTGCCACAAACAAAGTTTGTCGCACCACCTATTTCGCTGCCTTCATCGACCACGTTACCCACCCCTTGGTAACCATTATGTTGCTCTAACTTGCCACCGGCTGTCTGTTCTGTGCGTTGCGTGGCCTCCCCAGCCCTATTTCTCACGCTTGATGTCAACCGGGATATTCTTAACACTGTCTGCTTCCTCACCCATTTCGCCGTCTTCCGCGGTTTCCCAATGTTACGATCTTGACTCTCCGTTCCATTGACCGTTGCGTGGTCCCTAGAATTTTATCCTATAAGTAAATTGATTTTATCGGTCTAATCAGAGATCAAGACTGAGCATCCAGGATCCGATCCTGCCAACAAAAACGCGTGGCCATCTCTTCATTGCATTGAATGTGGTGTTTCTCTTGCATGTCAGAAATAATGGCGTTATTCCCGCAAACAATTGGCCCCCTTTTCCCTTCTGCTTTAAGCCACCCAGTATACGAGCAAAGCCCATTCAAAGCATTCGTCATATTTCTTGGGTTATCCGAGCGTGACGTTCGCAATGAGCTTTGTTCAGTTCTAATTGGAACTGGACAAATTGTTCACAATACTACTACACTGTCTAATATTCCAGACAAAGAAATCCGAGATGGTTGCGCCTTACTACATGCTAAACTGGATAACACGTTCTCTACTATAGCTACATAGCTTGTCACGGGCTTTGTCACTAACCCATGTAAAAACTCGAACTGATCCAGACATCGTGTCGCACCTTGTTCTGCAAATTCTCGGTGCCAGTGACTCACCAGCTTTAGAAATATACATCAGCATGTGGACGAAGTCGTACGCTGCATCGCGTCGGATGATCACAAAAACTGCGCCACTGTTAAAGCCCGGTAAATCGCCGCTATCCCCAGACTCATTTTACCCAGTTAGCCAGACTTGCAGCATATTTAAAGTCGCCAAAAAAACAATTGACATAAGCTTTCATTGGTGGTCTGAAGCTTGCAACACTCTCCTAGAACAGATGACTTTCTTTACACGAGGACGATGCGCTATGGACTGCCTATGACTTGGTCACACTTGTGCAACTTTCGACAAACTGTGGGAACATTGCTGTCGCGGTGTTATTAGATGTAGGAAAGGCATATTACTGTGTCAGCCACCTATCTGTGGTGCTCGGGCTAACCTCATTTAGGGGTACGTGGCCGTATCCTTCAATGGATCACCAACTTTCTGCACGACAGACCAGTATACATTTCTACCAATGACTACGAAAGCAATCTATTCAACATCAGCAGACGTGCACCTTGAGAAAACGTTCTAAATTAGCTTCTTTTCAACGCTGCGATTCTGGTTTTCAAGAAGTGCTTCCAGAAGCATTGAGCATGTACATGTATGCAAACATATGCAAGCGTATGTCTCATAAATCTCTTCAGGTGATCAAGCACCGGATTCAGCAAGAACTAAGTTCAATGAGTGATAAGCTCAGGGAGCGAGACATGCATATTTCTCATGCCGAGTGTTTATTTCTGCCGTTCAAAAAAAGAAAGCGAAAAAGTTGATACTTTGTGTGCATGGACAGAGAATGGTTCACCTGGTGTTATTACCTTAGACCACCAACTCAGATAAAGTCAACATATAGCCGATCTCTAAAATCAAGTGAGCAGCACAATAAATGTTCTTTGTGGCACAGCGCAAATGAAATGACGTGGAACGTCGTCACTACGACACGTTCATTGCGATCTTCTCCGACAGAAGATCGTCTACTCCACGGCACTTGTCCACAACATATCACAGAGGTGTCTACATCGAATTCAGCTGCTGCAAGTTCGGAGCCTGCACGTATGTCAAAACATCTTCGGAGCATGGTCTCCAAGTAAATCAGGCCAGAAACCACCCATGCCCAGTTGGAGTTCTTGAAGGCAACATCACTGATCGACCACATGTAAAGCCCGGCACTGCATGTGTGGTGCGCGACGTCTTTCTTTCTCTTTCTTCACTTCCTTATTCCCCTCCTCCACGTGTAGGGTAGCAAACTGGACGTAGTGTACCTAACTTTCTTATATTCCTTCTGAACCTATCTTGGCGTTCCACATGAAACATCAAATTGACTGACACTAGCTGAGGCACAAGAATCCAGCTTTAATAGTGATTCGAAATTTAGAGAACCGTCCACACGTGTCCCTATATATAGTCACACAACACCCTTAACAATTACGCATATAAAAAATTGAGAACCGTCCCTGAACGCAAATACATCATGTGTTTCCACAGCACATTTCACAGCTTGCTCCGTCGAAACCTCGGCCAGTGGACTTGGTCTACCCAGCCTGGTTGCAAGAGCCACAAGCTATTCAAACTTCTACAGAATTACTTCACAGTAAACATGACGTGCAAGCCATTACCCCACTGCAGTTTTCTTTACATCATCTGTTCGACAGGTTCCAAGGCTACACTCACGTTTATACTGGTCGTTCTGTCAGCAATGAAACTGCGGCATCGTAATTTACCATTCTGGGGTTACATGAAGAATATGCATGTACGTAGTGTCATCTCTCCCCTTCAACAGCATCCGAGCTGGTGGCCATCTTGCTAGCCATCAACTATCAACTACGCTTAGAAGGTGGGTCGTAAGCGCATACTCTAGTGGCTCTTGCGTGTGTTTAAAATGCTACTTCAGAAAAAATAGATAAACGTATAGTATACGGTATGTTAAAACAGCTTTCAGAAGCTACAAGGTCAGATCATCACGTGATATCTCAGTCAATAGAAATTAAGTAGCGAATGAAATGGCCAAAGTCACTCATCATTATACAAAAAACCAGTCTAATTCATACATCGCGATGCGACATTCACCGAATTTCACTAAGAAGGAAACATTAATTATGCCTATCCACCTAGCTCACAGATAGTACTAAATCTATCTTGTACGCTGACGAACGCAATCTTGAGTTTTGGCTTTCATCTCCCAACACGTATCGACACACTCATACGTAGTCTAACACTTGGAACTGCTTACACAGAACATTTCTTACTTCAAACTCAGCGTGCACCATAATTAAAATGTCCATGCAGCCACGACGGTGAGGATGTGCACCATCTGGTGCTCAACTGTTCCAAGCACGACACATATAGACGATGAGTCGAGGAGGAACTCGACCCGCTCCGCTAAACTCAGAGTGAACGTTTTCGTTGGCGGAAATGCTAGGTCTATGGCCATCTAGCCTAAACAGCATAGCTGTGAAAGTGTTCAAATTTTTTTAACACACCAATGCGTGTAATAACGCTGAGTGACTACATTTAAAGTGTGTACCACGGCTGTTAAAACGAGAATATTGAACCATACAAATGTAGGCCTGTATATACGTAAATATTATATTCTTTCTTTTTTTTCATGTCTTAACAATCCAAACAAAAGGGGTAGCCATCGCCAAGCATTAGCGACAACTCCTTCTTTTGTTTTTTTTTTCTATTTCTGTTAAACATAGGGTTTGTTTTGCTTTAGAGGAAATAAAGGTAATTAGCCGACGAAGTCGAGGCGTTAGCCTCAATATAAAACAGAACACTGCGGCTCACCGGTCACCTCTCATTTCAAATGGCACTTTCATCATTCATTCATCTAGATAAGATGGAGGCATTTATTATAAGGGAGTATAGGCTATTCGGCGTTTGGTCGTCACTGTCTTAAAATGAACGCTAATCATCATCATCATCCCCACCAACAAGAAAAAACATAGAAAAACACCCCAACCACTATTAACACCACTGCCTAATGTGTCACGTGATCCTGTGCGCACAAATAATCACGCAATGACGGTATCCCCATCCAGCTTCGTTGTCGAGCGCGCAACGTTACACGACGGAGCTGGTAGGTAGCATCGGCGAGTATCGCTACCGGTCGGACGAGGCAGCCCAGGTGGTTGCCTGGACTCTGAATGGGCGCAAGTCATTCACAGTTCGAAAACTATGCACTATGATAGGAACTATGGAGGGGTAGAGGAATTAGTTCAGTGCAGTACTCTACACATAGGCTGTGCCCCCGACTTCCGGGAGAGAGGGAGGAAGTGGTTGGAAGCCAGGCACACATAAGAAAAGCCGAGAGAGTTTTCTGTCCGACTTGGCCAGGACCGGCACGCGTACGTACATGCAGCTGCAGTGCATCCATCATGCCTGCGTAAACGGGCTATTGCCCGCAATCATGCGAGAGCTTGTTGGCATTCGTAAAAAATGCCACCACCCGAGACAGACCTCGGGAGCAATAGCTGCAGTTAGTGGGGTGCCTAAGTGGCATTCGCACGAGGTACCATCACCTCACAGCGGAAGCTTGGGGGCATGCACCACGCGAAGAAGAAATTACGACTGTGTTTCATCTGGTGCCCCCCGCGAATGTCCAGCGACCGTTCCTGTACGCGCGCGAGCTGCTCTGGCTCACTCGTCTTTAGCATTTATGTCGCATTCCGACCTGTGAAGTTTTGCATGACAACCCAAGCTACCGATAGGTTATACAGCCTCCCCGTTAATGGTTCGTGCACGACATTCATTGTCGCCTGTAGCAACTGCAGCGTTGCACTGCTAATGTACGGGAATGTAGGTCCAGTTTCCGTCGCCATGCAGGAAGGAAACAGTGTGGTTTAGGCGATAGAAATAAATAAAGCTATATAGTATATCACGGCATGACAGTTTTCGTTTTTCCCTATTTTCTTTCCAAATAAACTGTCTTTTGGCTTTGTTCTTCCTTTTTCTTCTGGGGGGGGGGGGCGGAGTGCTCTTTTTATTAGGACAGCCTCGTGTCGCATACGCTTAAGACTTTTAAAGCAGGAGTTCAGATTATATAATATAACATAATTTTGCTGTTGGTAGCAGGACCCGGACGGAGGACTATAACTCGTCTGTGTTCATTCCTCTTAGTACTCTCTCCGGCTCCTGCTAACCACAGCAAAATTCTTATATT